AGTGACTAAGATGGCAACAGTGACTAAGGATTGAGATACATATCAACTTACAGATGGATATTTTAATTCATGGTTTAGAATGTGACTGAAGCTGTTTAAAGATCAGGCTAGGCAGGGTTCTCTGTGTGTGGCTTAAGATTCCAAATAAACATGATTATTTTCGTAAATAAATGTGAACTTTAAAACAACTTCCTACATGAGAAAAACATCCCAGTGGGGTTCTTTTAAGGTACTTCACTGTCATTGAGTTGATTTATTCACTAAACAGTTTCATTTATTTCTCTGGTTATTGAAAATCCATTTTCTATTTTGCATGTAACAGAAGAATCCTTGTTGAAGTCCGAAATAGAATTACAATGTAGAATCAAATATATTAAGTTGTTTAATATAAGCAAAAGGCTACTTATCACTGCAGCTCATTTGTGCTTTTATAGTGATGTAGTTCAAAGGCCTGCATGAAGTCAGAAACTTATTCTTCTAGGATGGGTATTAACTCGTGTTGGAATAACTGTAGCAGGGAAACTCAGGAATGATAGATGAACATTAACTGTGTATTGTTATCCAGAGATTGATAAGACTAAACTTTGGAACACTCAGCATAGCTTTCTCTAAAGTTTCCTTCATCGTGTGTTTGCATTTTGGCTTTTTAAAGAATAAAAACATAATCAAACATGAAATTTTTCCAGAAGGTGAACTATGAAAACTTTTATCATGTTTAATTGATAAAAGAGCAAGCAAAATGTTGAACGTCTGAGAGTTGCCCTCATTGCTTTGGAAAATACATTTAATTCTCTTTAAAAGATATTGTTTTACCCAGAGGTATTTCTGAATTGATTTTGATTAAAGAGCTTATGAGCATTAATTTTATGCCTTATTTCCTATTCTTTTTAGTAATAATTCAGCTGTCAGTCAGGTTTTTGCAGCCAAGATTTGTCCATGAAGTCTGTTTATTTTCTTCTTTAAGGAGGGATCTTTGTTGATATGCAAATGTAGGAAGTATTTGGACTTCTTCCATGACTAGTTCTAGTAATATTTTTAATTTATTTTTTTGTATCTCTTCACTTGCATTTTTATAGTATTAGAAATCTGTGGCTTGGGCATGGATGTAATTTAGGGTTGTGGGTGGGATGAATGAAATGTAGAAACAAATTTCAGTGCAGTCTTCAGTTCTAATCTTTGTTGCCAGGTACTCTTATAGAAATGCTTTGCATTTTGATTTTTTTGTTTGTTTGTTTGTTTGTTTTTGGTTTTGTTTTTAAATAGAAGGGAAAATATAGGGGCTTTCTAAGGGAAGAACTTGAGGCTAAACAGAGGTGGCCATGAATTAAAATCTATTCTCTGAAAAATTCAAAACTTCAGAAAAGTCGATCAGGAAATCCTGTTTGTGTAATATCATAAATGAGCTCTCATACCTTCAAAATGTTTTTTTTTTTTTTCCAAAATATCCAAAAACCAAATCACTGTGTTTTGTTTTTTTTTCCCATGTGCATCCCTACCTCTGCTATAAGTTCTTTTTTGTTTGTGTCTTTCCTGAGACCTCTTGTCTGCTGTGCTGAATTTCTGTCTTATCAAGCATTTAAATGCATGTACAGGCATGGAAAAGCAAGCAGAGAAATAAAATAAATATTTACACTTTTTTGACTTTTTGTTTTGGTTCTAAGATTTACTTCTAGGTGTGCATTTCCTATACCTGTCTTGAAGGAAGGACCATCTCCTGAGTACTGTGATAGGGCCTAAAAGATTATTTTTGCTACTAACGTAGATAGCAGGGAAGCATTTTGGTGTTCAGATGTTTCATTCACCCAGTTGATTCCTTTGAGGATAATTGTTGGACGTGCCCATGCCCAGGTACTATCATCTGTTCTGCTCATACTGAGGAGAATTTTTTTTTTTGTGTCTGCACTGAACACTGGGAAGCTGCACATCTGCACTTTTACTGATCCTATTAATAGATAACACTAATCAGGAAAAATCTATCCTCTTACTTGCTTACATGTTGTTGTTAGATATACTACCTAGTTTCATAGATAACTCTTTAAGAGATATTGAAAGAGTAATTTTTGATTATTTAATACAGCACTTAAGCAGTACTTATCCTAAAATTAGAACAGCTTTTATTAAAGCTTCACAAAGAGTGGTTTTTGTTTTGTTTGTTTTTTGTTGGTGGTTTTTGTTTTTTTTTTTTGTTTGTTTTTTCAAATAACTGTTGATCTCTCTGTATCCATTGTGATGTCCTACCAAGGAGAAGCACCATTTTTCTACACTGGTGCAGTGTGAATGTTTTAACAGGGTCTGCTATTAAAACTCTGATAAGAGTACCTCACTCTTCATTAATTCTGCAAGTATTGGTCCTCTAGTGACAAGGCTAGTATAACCAACTGCTGCAAATGCTGTTTGTGTTTTCACTGTCTTTGGTACCACATGCTGAATGTAGTAACCACTGGGGTTAGGAGGAAAGAGAAAAGAGAAGGAATTATGTCATTTAATAATTAATAATGCTTTAGAAGAGCATTTCACTTAGTAACTATTGAGGTGGTTTGATTTGAGAGTTGATAATTGTCTTAATAATTGCATTTAGTCTTTGTAAAGAATTGCATCTCCGTGTCAGTTTTCACGAATAAGCCAAGTACAGACCTACATGCAACATGATTATTATTGTCAATATTTATGCAGTTGTCAGTAGTAGGATCCCTGTCTAAAAGGTTGGGGTTTTTTTATACGTAAAGCTGAGGCAGTGTGGAGAACCTTGATAGCACCTGAATGTCTCTTAGCTTGCCTCTTTCTAGTGTTATCAGCTCATCATCTGCATGCCTCCATTAACAGTGTATCTTCAACTCACTTGAAAGAAAAATTACTCGCCTTCCATCTTTATTCAGGTGCTTCTGTTTATTTGACCTAAAATACTAGAAGTTTGCTGTGGAGGCCTAAGCAGTTGAAGAGGGAAAACAATCAGCAAAGGGTCTCCTGGAAACTTCAGTGTGTTTATCAGATTAGCTAAAGCCGTGACAATCAGAAGCATCAAAGAAATGAAGTACTGAGGGCTTTCATTTTTATGATCTTACTGATAATGAATATTACCTTCAAAGCAGAGACAATGAATGCAGTATTCCCAAGTGGTTGTATATGCATTTAGAATGAGACAACGGAATGGGTTTTTTATTAAAAAAAGCCACCTTTCCTTTTTCTTCTCAACCTTTTAGTTGCCAGGTTTTGTGAGACATCCCTTCATTTGCTGCTCTTAGGGGATAAATGCATATTCAAATATGAGGATCATGAGACTTTTAAAATTCTTGCCTTTTCCAGACAGTAATATTTTTTCTGTTGGACACTATGTTTACTATTTTGGTGGGAGTCTTGAAATGTATGAAAATAATCTCCAGTGGCCCATTAAAATGATGTACAAAACAAGTACCTCTGTGGTCACCATTTTTGTCCCCTTCTCTGCTCCTCTTTTTAATTAGCAGTGTTATTTCCTCTCCTCTTCCTCCCCTAAAAGGAGTTGGGGAGTACTTAGTTCTGTCCACCTTCACACATCAGCTAGTGTGTTTGTGTCCTAATGAAAAGATAGTTTTGGTTCACAAGTGAGCTGCCTTTGGAGATAGCTCGGGGCTCTGCTGTAACTCCTGCAGTCTAGAAGAAGCAACATCAAAATCACCTCTTCCTTGAAAGTACACTTAATGGAACTGCATCTTTGTGATAGCATTGGAATCATTACGTAGCAGTTGGCTCTGATTCAGAGCCTGCACAGACACAAATTGAGTCCGACAGGACTGGTGTCTCATGGACTTTGCTGTCATTTGAAATGCTGGCATGAAGATGGTAGCAACGAAAGGGGGGAGCTGGTGCCTTTAGCATTTTGCTATGAAGATTTCTTAGGCTGGTATTTTTTGATGGCAGTAGCTGATTCAAATGATAGTTTTACAAAAGTGATTCATAACGGGCGTAGATCTCTACCAGCTGCTCATGTCTTTTCTTCCTTGAGTAAATTCTTTTGAGCATTGCACTGTACTGAAGATGGGCTCTTTATGCCACCCACAAATCTGTAAGATCTATTTAGTGGAATGATAATTAGTTTGCTTTTTTCCCTACCTTTTTGCTTTTTGTCTTTACTGCATGGAAACCACTTGTGTAATAATGAAGAAGGTAGTATAAAATTTGACAAAGCTTTTATGTTGCAGATCCTTCAGAAAGTATGATTGCATTTCATCCTATTTTAGTGACAATGTCAAGCTGCTTAGGGATATGTCTAGTATTACCTGTCTGAGGGGATAATACTTTTATATTCCTTAATTTCTGTTAGTGTGGCAAATTTGAACAGGAATGAGACACTCTTTTTTCTAGTCAGGTGCTTGAGTTGTAGTGCTGCCAGTATATCATATTCAATTATGCATCATAATAAATGAAATGAGTTGAACTGGAATATCAGCTCTTTATTCAGTGCTGGATTTCTGTTTTTCTATTAGGCATAATTAAGGAAATCATGGCAGGAATTTTAACCTGTGAAAGTTGTTGAACTATGCAATATGCTAGTAACACCTCATGAAGCAGATTTTGCTATGTTATTCTTACCAGATGTGAGGGCATCAACTCACACTTCTCCTTGCATGTGGATTTATTATGGATCTTTAATCCACTTTTATTCCCTTCTTGCAACATGAATATTCCAGTAATGAATTATACTTAAACTTCATCAACACAATCAGTTCCTGTGGTTCAGAAGGTGCGTTTGAATACAACTAAAGAATCAGGATGTGACAGATGCTTGATTACGGTGGTAAAGGTGCATCGAGAAATACTTTGGAACAGTGCTAAGACATACCGTACCTTGAATCTTGTATATGCCAGTAGCCTGAAATGGATTGTGTTTCTTTTTCCTTTTGCCTTACTGTTTTGTCTTTTAAAATTTTATTGCCTTGAATTGCGAATACCTTAAAAAAACCCAAACCAAACACAAAAAACTCTGTCCTATTCTTTTTAATTCTATTTTTATCTTTTCACAGGCTCTGAAAATACTTCATCTGAAATTTCAGACCGGACAGACTCGCAGTGGCTTCTAAGCCAGTGAGAACAAGGCTGCCAAAGAATGCTGGTGCCAAGCTGTCGGATGATGCACGTAGTCAGGCCAATGGTGGTGCTCCTGTGCTTGCTACTGTATGCTGATGCTGAAAGTAAGCTTATTATTTATTTGGGCTTAGTTTTTGGCCTTGATGAATAGTTTTGTTTTCAGCTGGTGGTTACTAAGGGTCCAGGAATGCGTTTCTTTTTGAGTAATTATTAAAAAACTGTGAGGTCCTCTGTAGATCATAAGTAGTGTTTGCAAAGGATTGCTTACACAACTTTTGTACTATTTTTCTTTTTAATTCCCCTTTTCTTAAGCATCTGATGGTTCATACTAAGATGGTGGAGACCATTGCTACAAAGTTACATAGTCAAAACAAAGACCAACCTTGATTACTAGACATTGGTCAAATACCTTAAAGACATCTGTCATTCTTTGAATAACTGTTTCTTTACTTTGGTTAAAAAAAATCCCACTCCCAATTAATATCCAGTCCAATTAAAATTCCAGTTCCTTTGTAACTGCCACAACAGCTGTTCTAATGTATTATTTCCGACAGCTGTCACAGAGTACAGCATCCAAACAAATCAAGCAGAACTGATGACTTAGTGGCTGACCTAAACGTCTGACAGTTCAGTGAGGAAAGGCACCTATGTTTGCTTGTACTGAGGGGAAGCTGTTGGATTTTGGTCAATTAGTTTGTCTATTAATGGGGAGATAATATCTTCTTTTTAATTAGGAAATCATTAGGTCTGACTTGTTTACATGTGTTCCTTCTCTCAGCTGTCCTGTGGCTTCTTGCAGAAGTAATGTGCAAATGTGAAAAGCCATTTGCTTTCCACCTGTTGATCTGCAGGTTTACTACAAGTTGACTTTTGGGTTTGCTGCAAACTGACTGTTAACATTCACTTGTTTGAGGGATATTTTCCTATTGAATCTTCCTGACTATATGCAGATACATGATCAATTGATAACTTTGTTCCAGCTCTGTCTTTAGAATACTTCTGTGTTTTACCACACACACGTTAAGTAGGAACATAGAATAAAAGAAATAGTAAGGTTGAATGAATCAGTTCTCAGTAAATGTGTATTGAAGAGTTCCTGATCACTCCACTTATCGCCTGCACTCCAGGTATAGTGAGTTACAGCAGTAAAATAGATACAAAATCTTTCTCGCTTCATGCGTAATAATCCTTCCGTCTTTTTAAGTGTAGCTATATGAAAGTGAAGTAAATGAGGGGAAATAAAGACAAAACATACATGTTTTTTGAGTACTGGCTGCTGAGATTCTTTGGCCCCTTTCCAGATAGATAATGACCAGCTGGGATGATTGTGTCTAAGGTGAAGCCAAGGACATTTTAACACTTTAGCCAACAAATAATTAATTGGGAAGTGGGCCCATATGTTGGATGGTTTTGCAGTTGTTGTATTTCACCTATTTTAAAAGTTGTAAGATGCACAGAGATCATCTTTCGTGAGCATTACTCTCAGAATGAGACTATGATTCTGAAGTATTTAATATTCACAGGCTTTTAAATGGCTTAGATAATTACATACATACAGGTCGTATACATTATATGGTACAAATTAAATTGTGTCATATATGTGTTTATGTGACTTCACTTAATATTGCATTTTTATTGTGAGTTGTAAATTAATGTTTTTCTATTTTACCATTTTCTTTGGAGACACAATAGAGTCACATACCACACTTTATTTGGAAGATATGCTGAATCTCCACAGACATATTTATTTTATGGCCTGGATGAGAGATAGGACAGCATCCATGAGCCTTCTTTGCGTAGAAATACAGGAAGATGTGTCTTCTTCCATGATTAGCCCTTCTCACTTGAAGAAAAATTCCTGCTGTGCTGGTCTTGGTCTATCCTCTGCTCCTGCAGACACTTTTGCTCCTCTTTGTACAGCTCTTTCCAAAAGGGTCCCCGACCCTGCTTTGGTTTAATGCTCTTCTTGAACTTCTTCACAGAGAGTGGCAGGACCACGTTACTTCCTTTTAGGGATTGAAGGGGAGGGCAGAGAAGGTGAGACAAAGGGAACAAAATAGTTATCAGCTTTTTTGTCTATCACCATGTAAAGGCCACGCCTTCCTTTTTTTTTTTTCCTCCTCATAATTTTTCTGTTGCTAACATCAAGGTACCGCAGAAGAAAGGGTATATATCCTGACATTGAGACTGCATTGGACACTTTCTAGAGTAATTGCAAACGGATAAGGAACCCATACTCTTCCAATCTCACTGTGAAATCACTGTGAGTGGGATCCAAGTAACAAGCTTGCTTAATGCTGTTGAAGAGGTTGCCCTTAGAACTTTTGTATTTACATACAACTTTAACAGCTGAGGGAGGGAATGAGGTATCTGTGTGTTTTGTGAAAGACCTCTGAAATGTGTTGGCATGGGTTGATAAACTCTCCTGTGGCCATTTCTTCAAGGGATACAGGATGGAAGTCTGATTTCTCTGGTGGACTAGATGATTGCACTGTGCCACTTTATATGTGTAAACATTATTTGATTCTTACTGTTTATCTGGAAACTAAACTTATGCTTGGCTGAGCAAAGTAAGCTAAATTGAAAGGTGCTAAAATTACCTTAACTCTCTTACCTTTTGTTGTTAGCAATATGAAGTCTTACTTGTGAGGATAAGAAGTGAAAAATCTCAAGAATCGTGATGTTTTAGAGCCTTCTTTTATATTTGGTATTTGTAGCTTCTGTGCACACTAAGAAGGAAGAAAGCATGCTTTAGCTGCAGAAAGAAAATGTTTGTCTTCTTTTTTGTAGAACTGCAATCTGCTAGTTTACAGTATTTTTCTTTGGGTACCTTGTTCTCAGTTGTGTAGATGGCAACCGTGTTAAGCCAGTTCTTCACCACTGCTGAGATATTAGTAATGTAGTGTTGTTTATCAAAAGAAAAGTATGGTTTTTTTCATATTTTCTAAGTGAACTAGCAGAAGAATAACTTTCTAGAAGCCTTCTGCAGGTACATTTGTTTAATAACAAGAAGCATGTATGTTTCAGAGACTCAGAGATGACTATTTCTTTTCGAACTGTCTAATATGGTATACTGTTATCTCTTTATGACTTTGCCAAATATCAAGTTAATCACTGAACTCAGAGAAATATATGAAATATAAAATACTTCTGAAAGGGTTACTCCTGGTCTTTCCTACTATCCTAGTTTTTAAAATTAGGAGTCTAATTTGTATTAATAGAATAAAATACTTTTCTGCAGATAAACCTCCTGCTCTTTAGTAATTAAGTTCATTCTTGTGCATCCTATTCCTTTTCCAGACTGAGAAAGACCTGGTTACTAGCATTTCAAAATTCTCTGCTGCATTCCAGTCATTTTCTCTATTTAATGCTTTTCCTTCATTCTTGGTTACATAGCTTCTGCTCTGATATTTTTCTTTTGATTTTTTTTTTTTTTTTGAGATGCTATTTTAGAAGAGAAGCGACAATTCTTTCTTCCTTCAGCAGAAGTGTTTGCAGTTGACTATACAAGGGCAAATCATATATACATACACATATACTATATAAGGGCTAACCATAAACAATACATTAGTTTTATATTGCTTCCATTCCCAGCTGTTTAAATGTGAATAATTCTTAGTTTTCTCTCTGGCTGTAATGTATATGTTTTTGTTACCATCATGCTGTTTTCTCTACTCCAGGATCATGAAGGGCTAAAATAATTCTGACAGGACTAAAATAAATCTGACAGTGATTACAGATAACAGATGTTGGGGTGGTCAAGACAAATTCTTATTGAAATAGGATCTAAAGACAGTATTTTAGTATAGGTAAAACCAATTTTTCCTCTATATTTTTTGTTTTTCCACTTGTTGTTTTTCATTTTGATTTTTAAGGAACACCTGTTTTTCCCTGCTAGTGCCACTCTTTCCCTTTAAAAATTTTTTGTGTTCTTCAGCAAGCTGAAACACATTCATGCAGTCCACATTGAAATTCTGTTTCTAAGCAGTTATCTACAACCCTAAACTACCCTGGACAGATCTTTCAAAGTAATTAACTTATAGAAGGAGATTATAGTAAGTCTTGCAAGTGGGCATACATGGTTTACACAAAAAACCCCCCACTATTCCAGAAAAGCTTCAAAAACACTACATGCAGGCAAACCCAATGTGGGTGTTATTTATGCTTTTCATACATGTGCCTTTGGTAACTAGGACTAAATTTGTTTCATATTAGATTTGTATTTTAACTCCAACATCTTTGAACAGACAATTTCAATTATTGCATTCAATAATTGAATAGCAAGATTGTTTAAGATATATCCCTTTGTTTACATTACTCCTTTCAGTAATGGGGATGTATGCAGGAGAGTTGAAATATGGAGTGTTTTTTGTGGGGGAAAAAAAAAGCTTCTGATTTTGTTATATGTTGTTTTATTTTAAGGATTTTTTATATGCTCTCTTCAGTTCAACCTTACGACATTTTTCAGTTGATTTGATTATATACTACTGTAGGAGTAATTTTATATTGCACTTTTTAACTATGATATTAACATATGTCAAGTAGATTACCCATCAGTTCTCAAAAGTTTTAGTTTTAGGGAAAAGTGGGACAGCTAGTTATACCAAACCATTCTAGATGTATTCATTTCGCTCTGCAGCAAAGTGAAGCCTTTGGAAAAAATGTGATATTCGGGATGAAGAATCAGGGAAAGCGAAAACATTATGTGATAACTCCAAACATACTGAGCTAGTTGCAGAAACTACAAGTAATACAGCTTTTTGCATAAACCAGGGTTTATCCCTTATTTTCCAAGTTCTTACAGTGAAGAAAATTTTATTTATTTCATTCTAAGAGTAGCCATAACTACCACCATATCTGTTTAACTTGCTGTAAATTATTAATAGCAAAATCATGAGCTGCTTCAAGAACAAAATTGTTCGGTTCACATAGTTTTTAAAAACGTGATCTGTACATAACCAAATATTTTGAATGTAATACGAACAAAAGATTTATGTGTATTTTGTAAAGTGTAGAGTCAGAATTAACAGGGTTTTGAAGAAAAACTGCAGAGTGGTCTTTGGTCATCTCTGCAGCTTTGAAAATTGCTGCTGTGCCTCTTTCA